TATATTAAAATAATTCCCTTTTTCTTTAATGTCAGTTTTAAGCTTTCATTTTATTGTTCATTTTTTTTATTTTCATTTGTAGAATTTCGGTTTACAATTTGATCTAAATTAAAATAAGGGCCCTCAATTGTTGATATTGTCGTGGTACGGTACTTCGTGTGCGTTTCGATTGCTCCGCCACGTTATCGAAACAGAAAAAACTCTTCGCTAATTTTCTTTCGAAATTTGTCTAAAGCAAAAATTTTACAAAGTAGAAATAAAGAAGTTATAAGGGTTTTAAGGTGGCTGCGCGAACGTAACGTGGAGGATTGCGCAGCCACGGAGATCTCAGCAACTACCTTAATAGATAGATTCAAGTCTAGTAGAGCAAAAGCAGTATCCAAATGAAATTGAAACTATGGTTACCCTACTCGAACATTGTATGAGATAACATTATTTTTGAGATTGCACGCATTGAAAACTGCTCTGTAATGAGGTTAATATGTCGAAAAATGTAATGTTCACGCCAAAACTCTAGCACTTATAGATAATGAGATATCAGGCTACAAAGTAACGTTTCGACTGCGCGGCCAAGTACTTAATGTTTTTGACTGATTTTGTCTGTTTAACTTAACTTTGGTAGTATTTATTGCTCTCATTAGCTTTGACAAATTAGGACCTTTCTTCTTGTAACAGTTTTACTGTTATAAGTTTTAAAGAAATAATCAAAACTAGGAAAAACAAGTGTACGATTGCGCAGTCATAACTTCCAAGGTGAATATTTCTGAAAATAGTGGTCTATAGCGTTGTCTGTAGTTTAAATAAATTTTTTTGACAAAAATTGACAAACTTAGCCTTCAATTGACAAAAATAATTAGATCTCTAACTTATGTAGTTGCTGAGATTTCAGTGTTTCGTTCGCGCGGCCAACTTAAAGCCCTTATAACTTCTTTACACACGACAACTTTGACTATTTTGTGGTTTTTTGCCCTCGATTTTGACAAATTTCTACAACTTTTTGCGATTATTTTTTCTGTTTCGATGCCGTGGCGAAGCAATCGAAACGCACACCGGTACTTCACCATTACCTTCTTACACAATTCATTAAATATAAATTACTTAACAACCACATTAAAGGAATCTGATCGCAACTCGTGATTTGTTTATTATTGTGTAATTCCACTCCACCAAATGGTGTTTTCCGGAAGCAAATGAACAAGTTACTATAAAAAAATAATCAACACGCTATAATTACGGCAATGGCTGCATTATCAGATTCCAACCTGGAACTAATAACAATAGCTGGGAAGTACAAAAGTCCCTTTAAACAAAAAAATAAAAGAAATTACTAAATCTGTCCAGCGATGTTGAATACTGCCATACGTCCCAACTAACTATAAATAAAGTGGAACCCTTGCACATGCTTACCATTAAGTTTCTCGTAGTTTCTACTCATTAAGTATATTTGTTGCACTTAGAGTCTCTCATATTTTTTGGTGTAAGCCCCATAATCACAGTACCTGTTTAGAGGATGTACACAGGCTGGAGATGCAAGCCCTTGACTTTACTAAAACGTGTGATTCAATAAATGTACTCTTCTTATTATTGGCGAGTCAGATATGTTTAATTATTTCATGGCTGCTAGGACAAGGGCGTGCTTTGAAATTTCAAGAGCCAGTGCTAATAAAAGCCAAGTTATTTTTTATTAAAGCAACTATTACCTGGGCATTAATTAACGAAAAACTATTTGTATAATAAACTATGATAGTTAAAAATTATGATAGTTATTTAGCTACTACGTCCATCAGTGATTCAAATATCAGTCCATCCAGAGACATTGATTAATTTACAAAACAATTTTATACTTACTCATAAATAACACCAATTAAGTTAAATAAATGTAATTAAAACGTAGTTAATCTCAATTAACCTAAATAGCAAACAATGAAATCAGAATTACTATATTTTTTATTGAAAAAATACAAGTAAAGGAAGAACTTGGTGTTACAAGTCATTAAATTTTAAAACTATACTAATATTATAAAGAGGAAAGATTTGATTGTTTGTTTGTAATGAATAGGGTCCGAAAATATCTCGATGGTCCGAAACTACTGGACCAATTTTAAAAATTCTTTGACCTAAACTACATTCTTAGCGAGAATACCTAGCGAGTAACATAGGCTGTAATTTATTTTGTAAACATAATTAATTTCCTATATAAATGACGATAATTTGAAGCTAGGTATAAACAATTGCGAAAAACATTTTCTGTCTTCTCGTATGCTGCAAATACTGTTAATATATATTTTGAACGTACTTATCAATGTGCACAAAAAATCTGCGAGGAGGTGTATCTAAATATTATAGTTTAGCTATACGAGTAACAACCATTTTTTGTTGAAATTAGTCAACTAAAATATGGACCATATCAAAAAGTGATTCTATCAGTATCATGATATTAATCCTTACCTAAATAAACCAATTAATATTTTACTTATAATAAGTAGTAACATAGTGAAAATTGACGTAATATTGCAAACCACTACGGAACAATGCCCGTATAAGTATCTCCACATACTAATAACATATTAATGTAATACATTTTATTACACATATGCTAATAGTATGCACAAGAAATGAAGTACTCGTAGCTTCCAGCCTGGTTAATTAGTATTTTAATTCAGTTTTTATTGATAGAGATAATGATTCAAGAAGAAGGTTTATATAGGTATGTTTTATACATGCATATTAATCATATTATAGTATGGAAAGCCAAGAATTTAGAAACTATCGTAAAAAATATATTTTTGTGCTCTTAGATTGAAAACGCGGGCTAAATCTTGCGAAATAGATCAAAATAATTAACTACGGAATTGTATATGACGGAGGACCGATGTCTGGGTTGGTTTTAAATAGAGTGACGTCAGTGGTCTGCGGGATGCCCCGTTGTGTTGTTCTTGATGTGTCGGCGGCCGTCTCGGCCCGCGGGCACCTATGCCTACTTGGGCCAAGTAAGCACAGGTGCCCGCGGGCCGCAGGGTGGTCGCAGCCGCAAAATCTGTTTGCAGCGCTTGCTCTCACACTCGACGCTGGCGAGCGCGGGGGCGCTCGAGCCTGCGGAGCGCGAAGGAAGCTCGGGAGGTCTCGTAGGTGCAATCAAGCACAACAGATTCGCCGCTGAAAACCAACTCCGGGGAGTTAGGCGGTGGTCGACCCTTAATTACAGCAAATAAGCACAACAGATTCGCCGCTGAAAACCAACTCCGGGGAGTTAGGCGGTGGTCGACCCTTAATTACAGCAAATAAGCACAACAGTGCTGTGCTTATTTGCCACCGCATTTGTGGGCGCACGGGTAGGTTCCGTGCAGTGAGCAACGATCTCGGAGGCCTTCGAAAATTCTCGGGAGTCTTGCGACGCTGCGCCCGCGCACGGTGTGCCTGCTTGGCGCAAGTAGGTACAGGTGCCTGCGGGTTGCGGGGAGCGGTCGCAACCGCAAGGGCTGTGAGCTGCGCTTGTCCTCACACTCGACGCTGGCCAGCGCAGGGGAACATGCGCGCTCGAAACATGCGGAGCGCGAAAATAGCCCGCGTCACAAGTTACCCCTCACACGCGAGCGAGCGATGGATGGTCGCTCGGCCGGATCCGGGCGACACATAGGTATCGCGAGGCAAACAAGCACAGCAGATTCGCCGCTGAAAACCAACTCCGGGGAGTTGGGCTGTGGTCGACCCACAACTATATCAACACTGATGTACTTATTTGCCACCGCATTGGTGAGCGCACGTCATTGCGAACACACGGCCTGCATGGGACCGGGAAGCACGCGAGTAGGTTCCGTACAGTGAGCAACGATCTCGGAGGCCTTCGGAAATCTTCGGGCGCTCCGGAGATGTTACTTGGTCGACGTGCGGGCCAATCCCGACCGAATACGTGCAATGCAGCTCGTTTTTATAGGACGTATTGTTCGCGCACGTGTTTACATGTTGTTAGGTTAATTGTTGTATTTTCTTGTTGTGTTTAGATAATACGATTCTGCAGGATATTTCTTAACACTTACTATCAAAACTTCAATTAAAATCCATTAGAATCTAATTTAAATCAATCATATTATTTTTATTAAGTGAGGTAGTTTGTAGTTGCTCCGATATATATTTTATTTGTATATTTTATAAAACTATCATAAGACTTGCCGTCCTGTATGGTTCTGAAAGTTGGCTATTTAAAAGAACGGATAAGCGATAGTATATATATACTTCCTAAGGATAACCCACGGTAACCATTTATATCTAACATTTTACAAAAATATAATGGGTTTTTATGCAGCTATTTTAAAGAATACTGTCTATTAATTAAATACATTAAATATGTTATTCATATAATGTAGATTAATTTTTAATTATTTTTTAATTTTTAATTGTAATTAATTCTTTTTACAGCATACCCATTAAAACAAATAATATCTTGGAAGATATCAGAGCTGATCCGGGTGTCAACGATCGGCGGGCGCGGCACTTGGCACTAACCACTAAAGAAAACATATTTGTAATCTTTATTTATTTATTTGTAAACTTAACAGCTACGTTACATATCTCATGGGTGAAGTTAAACATTGCAGTGGACTCTAAGCCAATAGTAAAGTAGTAAGACAATAGTATTGTCTCATGAAAATCTAATATTGTATAATAACAATAATAAAATTGTTAATAACTCGACACTGACACCATATTAGTATTTACACTGCTGTATACAGCCCTGGATCTACGATTTTTTCTTTTGAGTTTTGCGTTTGAGGAAAATAACTCACATATATATATATATATATATATATATGTATACGTATATATATATATACATATATATATATATTAAATATTTATATATTAAATATATTTATATATATATTAAACATTATTATATTATGATTTTGGCGCCCCCTGATACTGCCGAGTTAAGATAAGTAGGAGTAAGATGGTGTTTATTTAAAAAGTATTATTAGCAATTAACGTTTCATGTTCGTCAATTACACCTTAACGTTCCACGGTTTTCCCTTTCTGGTAACTGTAGGTTTCACCTGGAACACCAAGACGAAATGATTAATTTTTGGACACTTTAAGGTATTTAAAAACATTTATCACCATCGGCACCACACATCGTTTTGCGTGTTTTTGTAATGCGCCGACGACGAAGTCTGGAAGGCTCTTAAGACTAAATTTGCTTTATTGGCACACATAACGCTTAGCGCTATAGCAAATACACACATGCTTTCACTTGTCGTTTTTTTACACACGTCAATGGACACTAATGAGCCGAATATGTGTGTCAGACAGAATGATACCCTTTTTAGGAAAGAGGTTTTGGCTTACCATACCAGGCATATACTTGACACAAAGCCTTTTTTTTTTTTTTTTTTTATTAACGTGTGGAAATCCCCTCGGACCGTCACCCCACCGGGGTTTGCGGCGGGGTGGTGTGTCGGACTCGGACCGACTAAAACCACACGGTGTGCCACTCTGCGCCTGTAACAGGAGGGATCCGGGAACAGCTGTTATTAAGACATCCGGACCCCTCCTAGCGCCAGCCCGCTCCTGGTGCGGGCTCCGTCTCAAAATTTTCCTCTCTTTAGGCGATGTCCGGCACACGCGGACGCCGCCCCCTCGCGGCTGGCCAAACTAATGCGGGTGGAGGGGAAACCCACCCCGTCCACCCGCGACCGCACTCAGGGCGGCATGAGGCGGTGATAGGCGCGCCTCCGCCGCCTGGTTCGCCGGCGGCGGATCGGGTCCGAGTGGAGGTCGTCCTCCCGGGCCTTCTCCGCCGCCTCCTTCTGCGAGATTACTTCCTCGCAGAAGGTTGCGACCGCGGTAAAACAACTGCCGCTACCGGCCATGGAGCGTACTACGGCCGGTAGCGAGAGATCCACTCCGATGACTGCATTGAGGGCCCGGCGCTGCGTCGCCCATGCGGGGCAGACCACCAGCGTGTGCTCGGCCGAGTCCTCACTGCAGTCGCAGTGGTGGCAGGCGGGACTCAGTTCCCTCCTAGCGACCGAGTGCAGGTACTTTCCAAAGCAACCGTGCCCGGAAAGCACCTGCGTCAGTCCACCAGCTTCGGACCAAGCTATCGGAAGTGCTCGTCGAAGAGCCACCTACCGTCCAGGACCAGCCCCAGGTACCTCATCTGGGCCTGGACCGGTACGAGGACCGAGCCGACCTCGATTGAGGCGCCGGCGGGTGGACCACGACGGGGCCCATGGAATAATAGGGCCACCCGTAATCCCAACGCCTCAATGCGCCCGACCACCTGGGTAACTCCCGTGGCAGCCAGGCGCGCCGCCTCCCTGAAGTTAGCCCCCCGGGCCGTGACTAAAGTGTCATCCGCGTAGCAGATGACACCAAGCCCGGGGGGGAGACGCCCTCGCAGGGCCCAGTCGTACCCGATGCTCCACAGGAGAGGTCCTAGGACAGACCCCTGCGAAACACCGCACGACATGGCCCTGCGTCTCAAGACGCCATCTCGGTCCTCGTACATGACGGTTCGCTCCTCAAGATAGTCTGCCACCAGCCGCCTCAGGTACTCCGGCACTCCGTGGTAGCGGAGCGCTTCCCTGATGCAGCTGAATGGCAGACTATTGAAGGCGTTGACGATGTCCAAGGACACTGCCAACACCACTCCGCCGCAGCTCACGGCCTCCTCGGTCACGGCCCTAAGGCGCATCACGGCATCGATCGTCGAACGCCCCTCTCGGAAACCGAATTGGGCGTCCGACAGATCGGGGCCAACCTCGCAAAGGTGCCGGACGATGCGGGCAGAGAGTACCCTCTCAAAAAAATTACCCGCCTCGTCCAGCAACACGATAGGGCTGTAGGCCGCGACCGATTCGGCAGGCCGTCCCGGCTTCTGCAGCAGGACCAGCTTCCCGCATTTCCAGCGCTCAGGGAAGCGTCCGGACGCCAGGCTAGCGTCCAACACCTCCCTGAGGTGGTCCGACATGTAGTCGAGGGCTCGGGCCATCACTCGGGCTGGAACCCCGTCCGGCCCGGGGGCGGTGTTCTTGGATCGAATCCGTAGAACAGCCGCCCCCAACTCCGATTCCCTTACGGGCGGAACATCAACCTCGCTGCCCCCGTCGTCTCCGGCTGATGCAGCCATCGACGGGGGACTTGACACAAACCCTATACCAACCTATGTCCAGCAGTGGAGTGTTAAAGGCTGTTGATGTGATGTGTGATACCAGGCGGGCCAAACGGGTTCATATAGGGTTTGTGTCAAGTTTTCCTTCTCTTTGCAGGGCAATTGTCCTTGGTAGCTTGCTCCCTTAGTGACACGGATGACACATTAACGTTAAGAAATATCAAATATAAAAACTGTTTCTGTAAAACGAAGTTTATGTAACCTATTTATTCTTGTCAATTTCAGGTACCTAGTTAATTTAATTATCATTGCTTTTATATTTTGTATTAATTACCTACTTTAATGAAGTATCGAAAGGAGATTACAAAAAATTGTCTTTTAGTTGGCAGGTTTTTTTCGAAGAACGTTTTACTTATGTTTATTACATTGTTGTTTGCAAAAATAACTATAATTTAGACTAACGCTAAGGACTTTAGATATATCTTTATCTACGTTCGAGCTTATCTTAGTTTAGTAGGTACCTACCGTAAATTTAGGTTTTATATTTTATATAAAGTTAACAGTAAATATTAATTACATTATTGGACGTATTAAGAATACGGAATGTCACGACCCCTATTCATCCCATGGGTGTCGTAATAGCCGACTAAGGGAACAAACTGCACAGGACAACAGCACTGCAAAAAGAAGGAAAACTTGAAACAAACCCTATACCATACCAACCCGTCTGGCCAGAGTGGTATAGTAGGCCAAAACCTCTTTTCTAAGGAGAGGCCTATGTCCAGCAGTGGACTACTATAGGCTGTTGATGATGATGATGATGATGACTGGATTAGTAGGTATAGATAGATACCTAGGTTCCAAGAACTACATTGTAGGCATTCCATTTTATCATCAATCTCTTGACTTCGTATTTGTACGTACTTATTAAATTAAATTATGACTTCAAAGAGTACATAATGTTCGTGATTACGAATGAACTCAGTCCAATTCTTACTGACCAATAAGTCCTGATTCACACATCTATGATCGATTTTATATTTGAATTTGCAAAAAAATTCACTTTCAAAGTTATAGCCTATAAACTAGCTAGCTTATAAATAGTTGGCAAGTATTTCTAAGATTGGTAATTTCTAGGATCCATCGCAGAATCTGATTTGTGCAGAACATAAGTGGGTTAGTGCCAAATATTATGAAAATGGGTCGTTCGATCGGTCAAACGCGTTACGAACCTGAATCATAGTTACTTACGAGTACTACAAATTTCCACTATTATTGTTCTCATTTTTTTAACCTTTGTTCGACCCCGAAAGTTTCAAATAATTTAAAACTTTAAATAATTGAAAGAATGAACACTCAGAAACTACAAGTTTAAATTAAATAACTTTACCGTGTTTTTTTTATCTATATAAATAAATAAAATTGAAGTGTCTATTTGTAATGTCAAAACAATTGTTTTTTTTCATGCTCACACGGTTAAGTTTAAATTTGTTTGTCTGTCTGTCTATCTTTTGTTCCGGGTAATCTTCTAAACGGCTGGACCGATTTTGATAATATTTTATTACCAGGTAGCTATATGTATAAGGAGTAAATTAACTTTTCCCTCTCAGAAAAACCCTTTAAAATTTTGCCCGGTCCGGGAATCGAACAAACTAAGGCATTTCTTTTTAAGTTCCCCGCGAACGAAGTCGCGGGTACCAGCTAGCAGATTAATATATTTTGTAACGCGTGACACTGACGTGGCGCATCATATCTTAAAAAATACTATTATTGGGTCTGAAGCTCGTCGAACTTTTAATAATATACGTATACGTATGCGTGCGTAATATTAGGCAAAGCTTTTGCTTATATATGCTTATTAAAAACTCGATAGTCTTTAAGCAGCATACATAAGAAAAAATACTATTAACATTTGTAAAGGTACCTGCTTAGTTATGTGATCTTCACAAGCCATTCGTATTCGAGCACAGGTCGCAGGTACATCCATTATAAACTCTGGAGACGCGCCACTTTCCTTGCGGGCAGATGTTATAGCCTCCTTTATTGCGAAGTATACGGATGAAGCAAGAAAAAGAGGTGGCTCGCCCACAGCCTTGAACCATAAACAGAATAATAGTTTAATAAGGAAATGATAAAAGTCTTTAAGAAATGGGTAAGAAATAAAATAATGATTACCTTGGAAGAATAAACTGCGCGGGGATTGGGTGCACCTTTTAATAGCGAAACGTTAAATTCTTTTGGTATGTCAGAAAATCCAGGAATTTTGTATGTTCCTGGACCACGAGATAGCACTTCACCGCTATGTGAAAAAACCATTTCTTCTAACGTGTAAAAACCATAACCTTGCATAAAAGCTCCCTCAATCTGACCTATGTCTATAGCTGGGTTTAAACTCTCTCCAACATCCATTACAATGTCTGTTCTTAACACGTGATGATCCCCAGTTAAACAATCGATAATAACTTCAGAGCATGCTACTCCATAAGTAAAATACTCGAAAAGATTTCCAGAATTTGTATCAGGATCATATTCTATTTTCGGAGCAGCATAAAAACCTGTAGCTGCTAACTGCACCCTGTTTGCGTAAGCATCTTGTACCCAATCTTCCCATATACCATTTGGATTCTTAGACACATATGGTTCCAGTCGTTTCTTTAAAATTTTACACGCTTCTAAGATAGCCATACCATATAAATCCGAACTTATGCTGGCGGCTGTTGGTGAACTGTTGGGTACTTTATCAGTAGACATTTCACTTACATGAATTTTTGTGTAGTCTATATCGAGAGCCCTTGAAGCAACTTGAACCATTTTCGTGAACAGGCCTTGGCCCATTTCTATTCCTCCAATAGACAATAACACGGATCCGTCTCTGTAGACTAACAATAATGCTCCTGCTTGCATCAAAACATCAACTTGAAAAGATATTCCATATTTTGTCGGAACTAACGCTATACCTTTCTTTTGCCATCTACTTTGTCTGCAAAATAATGTCTATATTTAAAAGTTTTAATAAATTTTTACTATATTCCACGCCAAAAGAGCGAGTATGATTCTTATTTGTTGTAATTAATACCACACTACTTACCTATTAAACTCTTCAATATCTCTTTTTCTGCGCCAGTAATCAGATGTCTCTATGCACTCATTCCAACATCTCGGCAATGTGCAGTAGGTAAGAACCTGATTGTAATGAGTCAGCAATCCTTCTCGATACAAATTCATTTCTACAATTTCCTCATAACTTCTATTTAATTTTAAAGCAACATTTCTAATCATTGTTTCTGCAGCTAACATGGCTTTTGGTGCCCCAAATCCTCTAAAGGCTGTATTTGAGGGCATGTTGGTCTTGCATAGATACGCTACTACCTCAATGTTAGGTATGAAATAGCAGTTATCAACGTGAAGTAGTGCCCTTTCTAACATCTAAGAAACAAAATATGGTTTTTGTTAAATGTTTTAACTTTAAACAAAATATCCAATTTTATTTCCATATCAATAACCGCAATAGAAATTTTATTGATCTTACCGAACAAGAGATGTCCAAGTAGTTGCCAGCGTTGCTGTATATTTCAAATTTTGCAGCATTTATTCTGCCATCACTATTAAACCCAGCTTTATATTTTATCCAACATGGATGCCTGTAACCGCTGACCTGCATATCTTCATCTCTATCTAGTACTGATCGTACTGGCCTCTTTAGTTTATAGGCGGCCACCGCCACTGGTACAGCTAAAAAAGCTGCTCTAGTTTCTTTGCCCCCAAACCCTCCTCCAACTCTCTTTACTTTAGCTACAACTCTATTATTAGGTATTTTAAGAGCTTCTGAGACAATGCGCTGAAACAAATAAAACATATAATAAGCTACCTCATGCATTACAAATTAGATGTACTGTAAAAAATATATAATTTAAATTACCGCTATCTCTTCAGGATTTTGTGTTGTTGAAATAATCTCCAGCTCATCTTCTGTTCTAACAGCATATGCAGAAATTGTCTCTAAATAAAAATGTTCTTGTGCTCCATTTCTAACATGCCCTTCTACAACGTGAGTTGATCTCGATAAAGCTTCCTCAATATCACCTTTACGAAGGATTCGAGGATACCCCGAAAAGTACGAACTTCGAGCAATCGCATCTTCTAACGTTACTATAACTGGCTCTAATGCTTCGTATTTCACAATCACCAGGTCTTTTGCTTTTTGAGCTACACTTTCCGTTGTCGCTACAATAGCTCCTATTACGCATGCACGACTTGTCACTGTTTTACTACAAAATATTTCTTCATCTTTTACTATAGGTCCCATTTTATTACATTCTTCGTCTAAATCAGCAGCAGATAAAAATGCTTCTACTCCTGGTAATAACATAGCCTTACTAGCATCTACGGATTTTATTTTGGCATGTGCGTGTTCGCTAAAGATTAACTTTAGATAGAGTACGTTATTAGCAGGAGGTATATCATCACAATATAAAGCCTCCCCTGTGGCTTGTTTAAGAGCTGATAAATGCGTTATAGGCAAACCAACTGCATCACACGCTGTTCTATCATCGTTGTTTATTTCATAACACTGTGAACTACTTGGTGCTTGTACAACATGTATTTCCTGAAGAGCACTTAAATCTGTATGATTTAATAATTGAATACCCTTGAGATCTTGTAGCTTTTGCAAAACATATAAATAAAACCTAAAAAATAAACTTAAACAAAGTGATTTGCGATAGTCCGCCATTCCTCCTGGGGCCGAAATATCTAATTGTAACTCATCAGTTAACAAATTAAATGCTTTATTTAAGATGGTTTCGTTCCACTTCTGTCCAATTAATGCATTTGAAGTTCTACTTACGCATATAGTAGTTGGCCCCATACCACCGTAACACAACTTAGCATACAATATTTTTTGAGAAATGCTATCAATTTTTACATTAAACGCTGAAGTCACTATAGAAATGTCATCCTCTTTTCTCCTTGCTTGTTTGTAAGCTTTAAAATACTGTATTTCGTCACTGAAGGGTATTTCGACTGAGGTAACAACTTCGTCTGCTTGAATAGCGGTACTTCTATATCCTCTAAAAAATGAATCATCAATCATAACTTTTCTATGACCTCTTTCAGTGCTATCTACGTGTAAAATAGCAGAACATGCCATTAGGATTGGATTTAAATCAGATATTGGACTGGCCGTTAAAATATTTCCAACCAAAGAAGCTACATTTCGAATTTGATTGCCTGCAAACCAATGCAGCATATCCTTCAAAGCTTCAAAAATTTGAGCTTTTTTTATTTCGTTTTTAATTTGGTTGTTTAAAAAGTCAGTCAAATCTGTTAGTGTAGTCGTAGCTCCTACTAAAACTCCTTTGCCGGAGACATTACAACAGCTCATTTCACTAATTACTGATGGATACAGAAGAATCGGATACACTTTTTTCTTGAACTTTATCTCAACTCCTATTTCAGTATTACCAACGACAATTTTAGAATTTGGGAACTGAGCTTTAATGGAAAGTAAGTTTTCAAGTGTTGTTGGTCGCACCCATGATACATTTTCTCCTTCATAGTACAAATATTCCTTCATATATCGATGATCTAGCTTTAATTCTGGTGGAAATATAGGTTCTTGAGTTGGATCGTATGGTTGGAATAATGACTTATTGAATAATTGGTTACTATTTGCATTTTCATTATTTCGACAACACTCTTTACCCAATGCACATAATCCATTCCCTTTATCTGTATCTTCATCAATATAGTATTTCTCCCATCCTTTCATAAAAGTCTTGAAACCCTCTATGATAGGTCTATACCCAGTACATCTGCAAAGATTTCCTTGTAAAGCAGTCTCTATATCTGCATACTGAATGTCGTCTTTATTTCTTAGTAACGTGTACATAGACATTACAATTCCTGGCGTGCAAAAGCCACATTGTGATCCATGCGCTTTGAATATTCGTTCTTGAACTGGATGTAATCGTTCTTGTGTAGACCCTATACCTTCGATAGTTGTAACTGCTAAACCATGCATGGCACAAACGGGTGTCAAGCAAGCATTCACCGTTATATGCCTGCATTCAATATTTGTATCTGAATGAAGGATTATTATCATGGACTTAAAAGCGCATTAATAATTTTTCTACTATTTATACTTTATTTAGGTGGTATTTTGTTACATACTAGAAAAAAAGGATAAAATAATTAAAAAATACCCCGACTTAACCAGGTTATGTAACAAGCGATAATAAACGTAAAAGCTTTATATAATATAGTTGATCTCTCGGGCAGTCGTCCTATAAACAATGGTGCATCAGTTTTCATAGCACTTCCTTATGTGCCTACTTGTTTCTCGAAGATATACTTAGGTGTGGCAATAATAAATAACATATTCAACTACCTATGAACTTAATAAATAACCAAATTTCAACTTTTCTTTTTCTCTATTTCTTCACTATTTCAAATTTTAACTAAAATTAAGGTATCCTCTGTTACATTACGTTAAGCGTTGAGTTGAGTTGAGTCGTGCTCGCTGTGCTCGTCTACATCGCCGAGTCTGCACTCCGCCGAGGTAGATAGCGACAAAGATCCCCGTGCCGCTGGCATACCAGCCCCTCCCCCGAAAACAAAGGCGCAAAAAACCGCGCTTTTGTTTTCAGGGAACGCGCCAATAAAAAGGACGATGTCCTTCTCCGCTCTACAGCGACCCACGACCCGCGACTGGCGCGACAGGCGGGTTTAGATGAGCCTGCCATGCACCAGCACCATGGCCAAAACCACGGCAGCCACCACCACTACCACTTCCACAACCACAGCAAGAGTAAAGAAAACGGAGATACCCACCCCTCATAGTTCAGCTATTACCAAACTGGGCTCAACATAAGAGGGAAGCTCAAGCCGAGGCTCTGCAGCCCTCGGCAAGGGCGTTTCACGCCCAAGGACGACCAGGAGCTCCGTCTGATACAGCGCTACCTGACGGCGCTGGAAAAGACGGAGGGGATCTCCTGGTTTTACTCTCACTTTACTCTCTGCCAGAGGAACGTAGCTTTAAGGGTGCCATTAGAGGGCTGCCCAGCAACGCCACCCCACAAGAAGTCGAGGAAGAACTGAGAGACGGACGGAGTACGTCCGAAACATCCGGGGCCGTGGCGACCGCCCGGAGTGCATCCTCCTCGCCATTATTAAGAGTGGGGTGGCTTCGACCTATTCAGGGGTAGCGGTAGATACCGCTGGCAGGGAGCTGAAGCCAAGCCACCACACCTCCCCTGCGGGACGCTCTGAAGACCAGCGTTGTACGACACACTATCGTTGTACGACATAGCGAATTAACATCGAAACTAATTTCTAGTGCGAGTAACGAGTTATATACTCGTAGTGATTTCTTCTTTGTAATAGTGAGCGTTTGTAATTACAGTGCAATAACCGCGTAATATACCGTGCAAGTAATTAACCGACAACTTTTTACATGTTTAATATCACCGTATCTATTATGCTATGATGGACTGTTCTTTAACTACTGAACTCGTTAAATAAAATAAATAAACAAATCAATGAGCCCAAAAGGCAGGATTTATGCTGTCTCAAAAACGTACTTAAAGAAGAGATTTCTAAAATGGGTATTTTTCAATTGTCAATTGCACTGTGGCTTGCACAAAAGGATACTTGATTCGATCTTCAATACTCAAATATTGTGAAATCATAACAGTACAGGCGCCGCAGCCACCTTCGCCACAACCATATTTGGTGCCAGTCAACAGCAGTTTCTTTCGAAGATACCAAAGCAGTGTCCATTCTGGATCGGGGTTGGGTTCTACAACCTGAAACATAAAATATTCTAAAATTTAGTTTAACCAACTCCCTTTGGGTTCCCTTTGATTGGAGTTGTTTAAACTAAATTGTGGGCAACAAAGCACTTCAAATCACTCTACAACCCTTACTATTATGATAATTAATATTTAGAAAATAAAAAACCAAACTATTAATCAGCTTCAAAATTGGTGGGAATGGCAGCTATTATAAAGTAACAACAATTGTGAAATATTGCATATGACAACTATATAATTACGTACTTCTTAATAAGTAAGTAGGTAAGTGAAAGACAGAATGTCGAACGTTGTTAAGCAAATCGTATTTAATTTCTAATTCGTAAGTAATTAAAAATTATTCGTAATTCATTTTGAACAATGTTGTATATGTATACTGTTAGCGTGTCAATAATAAATAAATAAATAATCATTCTACTTCCTATTACAACTATTATGTTACAGATTTTTTAAAAGCTTTATTTTTACACGCTTTATATTAGCTTCACTTGTATGTTTGTTTGTATGTTTGTAACCGACTGCTTTGGGCGTGATTTTGACTGACTTTAAACGGTCAGAATTCGTTCAAACTTTCTAGATATATCGAGGACCGATGACAATACACTAATTTTCTATTTTTTAGTTTGTTTTTTTATAGAAAGCGTGTTTTTTTAGTTTTTTAAAACTATAATTTTTACCAAACTAACAGTAGGTATAGGCGATAATGTTATTGCGACTACGAAGACGAAGGTCTGCTGGAGTTTCATCTCGTCTGCTAAGTACAGCCAGACGTCTCCGATGACAGCGTTAAATTTTTAAGTACCTACTACTTTTGTAAATTGATTTTACTTGCCTAAACTGACACTATTTATAAAAACCTTAATAGATTCGTAGATGTAAGCATCTAGTATCTAGGTACATAATTAGGTACATATGCAGTAAAGAGTGTTGAGTTAGAAATAAGATACCTTATTAGTTTATCTCAAAACTGCATCATTTTTATACTTAATACTGTCATAAACAGAGGCCCAGCACTAATTTAGTCAATCTGTTTCAATTTAATGCTAAGGTACATGCTATCTTCTAAGGAAGAACATTCTCCATCATTACCTACTTACAGAAAGGTATTGATTTCCGTCCGAGTTCATCTACCATCTATTTGGTTTAAGCTCGCTCGAACGCTAAGATCTACGTTGTTTTAAGTGTAAGAACTAAAATCTTCTTTGATGGATACGCAATTATAACACTTCGCAAAAACAAAACAAACTTTGTTTATTTTTTTAAGGGAACTTCAATCGAACTAAAACAAAAAAAAAACATGGTATCTATATTTCTTTGTCGATCTCCCGCCGTGACTAAAATTATCTGAACCCATTTACCGCTTTTTACTAAATCTGGCATTACTGGACCAAGCAATAATACAGGCTAAAGATAGGTATATTTAAAATTACATGTCACATCATTGACAACATTAAATAGCTTTTGTACTAGAGTTATCTTAATGTGTCACACTGTCTTGTATTGGATATCAATTCACCCTAGTAAACTTTAAGGAAGCTGTCAGGAGACAAATCAATAAAGTTTAGACAAAGCTATGTGAATATATTTTTTATCTATGTATGCTTATTACAAAAACTTCATGTTATATTTTGGGTATCACAATGAGCTCAATAGTAAATGCTTGCAACACTACTTGGCCTTTTTAATCTAAAAGGAGATACAGTACCAAAATATTTGAACTATCTTACACTACATAATTTATCCGTGTGATAACGGATTAAGAATACGGAATGTCACCACCCCGATTCGTCCCGCGGGTGTCGTAAGAGCCGACTAAGAGAGCAAACAACGCAGGACAACAGCACTGCAAAGAAAAGGAAAACTTGATACAAACCCTATTCCAACCCGTCTCGCCAGCGTGGTATAGTAGGCCAAAACCTCCTTTCTAAGGAGAGGCCTTTGTCCAGCAGTAGAATGTTATAGGCTGTTGATGATGATGTTGATGTGACACTAAATAAATAAATGAAAAATCATAACTTACCTTTTTTCCATTGACAAAAAATATCAGTTTTTTCTGAGCATCATAAGGTATCAGAGTACTTAAAGAATGCATGTCAATGTCATGTAAATGCAGATGCTAATATATTCTAACTACTGCACAAATTAATCTACTAACACAATAACGTTAATATCGTACCAAACATGCGTCCGACACGTCGAACCGCTAGAGTATCACTGTCGGACTGTGGCGTACCGCAATAAAGCTACGAGAGAATACGAGGTCATACGACTTACGATATTTATCTTAATACATGATTTCAAACTTATAGGTAATAGGTTCACGACAGAAACTTAAAGAAGAAATCTTACAGGCAAATACAACCGTGTAGTAGGGTACAATCGTACACATGGTGGGCCATCATCAATTATACCTACTTGTTGGCGATATTTTTATAATTTGTAGTATTGGAACGCCCACCACGTTGAGTTCGCTAATGGTAAATAATAATAAACTCTTCATTGCCATTGTGACTTACTAGAAAACATAGCATTCATAATAATAATTACTTAACACATCTCATGCACTGCAATAAGTAAATACGTAGGTAAATATATACACACAAGCAGGCTATAGTTTTATTCGGACTTACGTAAAAACTTTCACTGCACTGGACTATTGAAATTTGTGTTGCTAGCAAAATATCAAGCTAGCAACAAAGCCTGCAGCAGGCCGGATACTCAGACGACTCCAGCGCCTGAGGTCACTAAACGATCTCCGTTTTCCATAAGCGCAGGCCTGGGGGTAACAGGTTAGGCGATGACCGGCCTGCTTTTGCTAGGGGGACAGATGTGTCAACTTAGCAGAAGCAGGTAGGGGTGGAGACTCGACGTGCCCTTTCGGGAGCAAAAAAGGAACATCAGGGTTCCCACACTTAGATTTCCTTTCTAGGGTACACCTGGTTACCCCGCTACTGGTACACGAGACGGTTTTTAGTCGGTTCGAGTACGACTTAACCACCACGATAGTATCCGAGAGGAATACCGCTCAGAAAATAAAGGTGTGCTATTGACGTTTTACAATTTAAACATTTGAAGATTAAACAAGAAAAAGATTTATTTTTTACAGATTTTAGAAAGGCCCGTTCTATTGTATGGCAATATAAAGTATATAGTCAATAGCAGAATCTGTAATGTTTACCTACCTGTTTCATGAATCCATATCTATACCTAGTCAATTGCTCAAACAATTATCTAGTTACTTAAGTTATCATTAACAAGAACATAAATATAATTGTAAAGGGACCTACAGTATTTGGCGTATATTTTACGACTTTCTAAACGACGTTTGATTAAAACATCTTACTAAATGTTATGTAAGACCGGCCTTTTGTTCACCGCATACGTTAGGAGCTTCAATCGTAGATAATGATGATGATGTTAGAAGAATATTCAATTAATTCCTTTCTGATAATGATTTATCTACCTCGTTACTCTCATATTTATTTTATTAAGTTTGTCTATGCAAAACCAACTTAAAAAGACCTCAAAACAATGTGGCAACCGTTCACGTTACACTTATTTTCATAATACATAAACGAGCAGACTGGTCACCGCGAGTTTATTTCACTTCTACCCGATCGTCACGGTGATCGCGTTCGGCGCTACGATTGGCCCGCACTGAAATCTCCACCAATAGCAACGCTAAACGCGCTCGCCGTCGAGAGCGAGTTGATGTGAAATAAACTTGCACTCAGCCCTCAGAGGGCTTAGTGTGAGTTTATGTCACTTCTACTCGATCGCCACTGTGACCGCGTTTGGCGCTGTGATAGGGCTGCGCTGTAATCTTCACCAATCCCTACGCCGAACGTGCTCTCTGTCGAGAGCGAGTAGAAGTGAAATAAACCTACACTAAGCCCTCTGATGGTGACTACAGCCGTGACGCCGCTCCCGGACTACTGCAACTCTAGAATCACAAGTACATTCTTATGGTACTGTCCTTTGAGTGCCCCCCTTCAGAACTAAGTTGTGCAGGAGGTTGGGGGATGCGATACTTCTTTAATTCACTCACGCGATGAAAAGCAAGGAATTGCTTAACATCTCTTTTTATAAGGCCATCGTCGTCTCACTCCGGTTGGGAAGGGGGGCCTTCAGAACTAAGTTGTGCAGGAGGTTGGGGGATGCGATACTTCTTTAATTCACTCACGCGATGAAAAGCAAGGAATTGCTTAACATCTCTTTTTATAAGGCCATCGTCGTCTCACTCCGGTTGAGTCAGCATATATGAAGCATAGCTCATCCACGACAGTCATAGTCAAAAAGGTTCTTATTAAAATAGGTTCTTACTAGGTAGGTAGATAAATACCAAAAGTCTGACTTTTAGTCTGTCTCTGACTATTCCTGGTATATCTCAACACTTTAAATGATCTAGTATACATATTTGAGTAAGTAGTTTAAAAAAAATAGGGGTGCAGACACAAAAAAAATGATTTTATTGTTCCGTATCTCAAAAGATAAAATCCCTTATAAGATCACTTTCTTCTGTCCGTCTGTCTGTCTGTCCGTCTGTCCGTATGTCACCACTGATTTTCTCAGGAACGGGTAGACCTAGCAAGTTGAAATTTATACCAGATACTGAGGTCTATGGTTCCTATTAGGTGTATAAAAATGGGCAAATTTCGATTTTCGCGAAAAATTGTAAGTACCAAAATTTACCTTAATTTTCAACTTTTTTCATTTTTCAGAATTTTCTCTTTACATGTGCTGTAAGACCTTGCTTTTAACCAAAATTGACAATTCTAGGTCAACCGGAAGTACCCTATAGGTTTTGGGTCGAAAACCTATATGGTAGTTCCCGATGACCTAGAATCACGCAATTTGGCAAAAAGAAATGTCATAAAATCTGGGTAGGTACGGAACCCTCGGCGCACGAATTCGACTCGTAACTGACCGGTTTTTTAAACTTTGACAAGCATGATACATATTTTTTTTCTGTCATACTGCAAAAACAAAGTATAACTATGTCCACAGACGATCATCATCGTTTTATTACGTAGGTAAGTAAGTTGTACGTAAGCACAACTTTGTCGGCATGTTCAATTTTTTCTTTTGTAAAACGTCATGGCAAGACTCTTTTGTTCTTCAATTCTTGGTGTAACCTAGAACATCTGGCAAATATGTACTAAAAGCAGGTTAAGGTTAGACACTTATCAGTTTTTCAATAGATATCAATGCTCATTTTATTTTATTATTAAGTACGTTGATGATTTACACTGATATATATGTAACACACATACATATATCACACATTGTGTGTAATGTTACGTTATTCAAACTTCCATTCTTTAACCAACTAACTTTCACATTTATATAAATGTTTATAAATGTGAAAATTAGTTTGTTTGTTTGTTAGATACGCTTCCACGCCTAAACCACCTTATATAGTAGTAGTAAAATAATTATTTTTTAAGATTCCCTATTCCCAAACTTCCACTTCTCTTTCACCCCTTAATGATGATGACTAATTGGTCAAAAATGCATAAACATTCTTTATTTCTAATGAAAAATTAAAAACATAATTTAAATCTTAGGAAATGTATAAAAATATTGAGTTTTATTCCCTACTTAATAAACTATTGATTTTTGAGATCCCCTTACACACTTCTACCCCTTTATTCACCCACCAAGGCATGACTAAGTGGTCAAAAATGCATAAACATTTTTCATTTCTAACGAAAAGTTAAATGATAATCTCTTATAGTCCTTTTTATTAATTCCTTTACCATTTCAACCGTCCCTTTTTCACCCTTTTACACCTTTACACCAATTAAAAGATTTGTATAAAATTCTTCAGTACCTGTAATGTGTCTGCACTTCTAATACAAGTACAAGTTCTAGTACAAGTACACTTCTAATGCAAGTTCAAGTAGATTCGAGAATCGTTTAGATTCACGATTCGGTCAATTACAAATTGTTTTTAGTCTACAACCTATAGGAGCAGACGACCAATGAAAAATGTAGCAAAAACGGGCAGTTTATTCTTTTTGAGAGACACGGACGAAGTATCGTAGGTCAGCTAGTTTTGATTATATAATTCGTCTGTGCGTGTGTAGGTATGTGACAAAACTTCTTCTAAACGACTAGATCGATTTTTATGACATTTTTGCCAGAGACTAAGTGTCTGCCAGAGACTAAGTGCACATTGCACTCTACCTATAGATGATTTTACTTACCGCTGTATCTGTGTAGATCTCTTTATAGGTAATGAATACAGCTTTCTTTTGGTGGGTTCAAATTTTTTAAATGACTTTATATTTATACTCGTATGTAATATTTTTGAGGTGAAAACAAACAAAAGAATTTAGTTTTGTTTTGAGATGGGTAGAAAACGGGTTCCCTCTGTCTGGCAGAATCTTGTTGCTTCGAAATTATTTCGCATAACACACTTGGCAGAAACTTCTTTAAACGAATATTTTTAAGGCATAAAAATCATTTAGTATAATAATGTTTATATGACCGAATTTACTTTTAAGATGGCATAATTTTATTTAGCATAATTACCTTTGGCAGTTAAAATGCCGCATAATTTCGTTTAGCAAAACGTTTTTTTAGAGCGACGATTATTTGGTACAATTTAATTTAGAATCATTTTATTAGGTATATTGCCAGCGCCCGCCGCCGCGGCTTCGGCTTGCTGCAACAGCAAGCCGAAGCTGCAGTGAAGAGCGTTGTCGAGCGCGAATTCATCTGCGACGATTAGCTCTCGTAGGACCGCCGGAGCCGTGACAGATATGCTGCATGCTGCATCCTTACTTGCATGCTGCATAGCTTTATTAACATGGTAAGAAATATAAAATGATTGTAATCGCTGAACCTGTCAGGCGGTCTACTCACCGGCTTACCCAGCGGAGATATTCACGAGATTTGGGTTAGCTCAGGGCGCCTTGTCGACAACAGAGGGGTACGGATATGTGTGCGTGTGGGCAACCTAAGGGACTCTTCAGAGAAACACAACTTACACCTCAGTCATACATACATGTATATTTCATTCGAAATACAGAGTTATAAACTTAAAATTGAATATACATAAATAGTAGGTATTTCAATCCATCAGCGGCGCGCGTCAAGGCAGACCAGATGTTGCTAGGAGCCTCTTCGTCAGCAATCCTGCAGGTTATTTCCACACCAGCCCGAGTCGGCTATTTATATTAGGTAGGTAGGTAGGTTAGGTATTTATATAAGTGAAATTAACAAAATTACGTGACCCTGGAATGAGGCTGACCGCTTGCTTGTGAGCCGCGTGACTGCCAGTGTATCAGATGGTACTTAGGAGCTCGATTACGCACAAGAAGGCCACATACAAAAGAGCACGCCGTCTGAGAAGTATCTCTTGACCCGAAATCTGGAGCCCTACGAATGGATTAACACTCATATAATCGTTCAGATTGCAGAAACAAATGACTACAAGAAAAATAAGATTAACTTACCACTGAAGTGGGTACTCAGACAATCAAAGTGCTACTTCAGATCGGAAGACTAGAATCACCAGAGTGTCCCTTGCGGCTGGAAGCCGGTCTTATATATGCTCGGTTTGTGAAACTTCTAGAAAGAATCCCTTCTTTATTTAGTCATGAATGGGAGCTCCATCGAATTCAATTTATCATTGAGGTTAACTCGATTCAAATTCAATGGTACCCGCTTCCTACCATATCAGGACACATTTAACACCAATACAATTCGACAGGATAAATTATCACTACGACACACCGAAAAAACACGCCATCTAGTGGTCCGATGGCGGACGAAGAGCTGCCTATGATAGTACTGCCTTTTAATGACTATCGATATGAAATTTATGCTCAAAAGACTATTCTAACTATGAACTTTCGGCGATAAAATTGTTCTACTTTGTAATTCTTATGGATATGAAGTTTATATCTAAAGATGATTATGACTTACAAAATATGCGATTTTCTGCGAAATGTAGTTTATGCTATCCGTTGTTATGCAAAATAATATAATATAATAATAATATAATACAATAATGAAATAATATAATAATATTATGACATAAAAAGTTCTGCTATAAAGGGTAGACCCGAAAAAACCATTGAACTCGCGACACTAATCGGCATCGATCGGCAACGGTTTCGTTCGGGTAGGGTCGTCCAATAAAGAAACATTAATGTAATTTTTATTGAGAGATACCTTTCATTAAGTAGGTATTTTTTATATTTTACTTCAAGTACAATAATTTTAAAGTAATAAATCATTTAATAGTTCAAAACAGAAGTTTTATTATTCTAATCTTAATAATAGCGAAATACTCATAATAATATTAGGTAGGTTTTTTTTTCTGACGTATTGTAGTATACTTCAAGCAACAGATTGATACTTATATACGTACAATACCTACTGCCTATTCAACGTTTAAGTATTTCATACATTTTACTAAAGGTACGATAATTTTCTTTCATACCTATTTTCTTATTTCGGCAATAGAAGTTTTATTATTGTAACGTAAATTAGAGATTCATTATAATTTGTATATTTTGTTGCTTATATTGTAGTAATTCCAAGTAATTTAAAACATAAAAACATGTATTTAATTAAGAATTTATCTCTGACTTTTCTAAGGACTTAAAACATGGAAGTACATATACATAATGAAATAATTTTTCGTAAATTATTTGATCTAGCTTTTAGACTACAACTACCTTAAAAATTGAACTCATTATACCTTCTAAATTAAGATCAGATTAAATCTGTAACTTGGCCACAAATTCCGACTAATTAGCGACTAAATTTGAGAGTAAACAGATCTTCGCTAGGTGCCCTAGTTGTTGAATTCAGCGGGGCCACCTATAAACGCTTATAACTTTTGAACCAGTGACCAACAAATTCTGATGTTTGGCGTCAAATTTCGACTAACATTTTATCATAATTAAAATACATAATGATGGCTAAGCTGGTGTCAGTGACACTGTTGGAATCGAATTGACTTGCACTCGCGGCTGGCGGGCGATCTGCAAGCTTGCATCTCGCGGTCAACACGTGGTTAGCGCGCTGGCGGCTAGCGGTACTCTAAAATTCGAGAAGGCACCGTGGTGCAGCTGTGCCGTTACGGTGCAGTGACGGTGTGCCATGACCTTTAAACCATACGGTGTTCCATACCATGTGTGTCTATTGCAAGCCTGTCTGAAAACCCCCGGTAGACCTTGGCCGCCATAGGCAGCAACACCATTAAATGCTGGGGGCCTTGCCCTCCTTCCGTTTTCGAGACCTTTTCGCGGAACACGTCTCATTACCGTCTCAGGCCTGCTTCTTCTAAGGTAACGGGCAGCCGGGACGGACGAGCCCGATGCCACGTTTTGGAGTACTGACCCTCTCCCGTTGCTTTCCCGCCGGCTTTTATAAGACATCACTTCCTCACTAAAAGAAGCGGTGGTTGTATTATAGTCATAAAACCCATTAAAAATAACATATATTGAGTATTAGACATACTTTTGGCAGCTAACAAGCAAATAATGTATAAATTAATTAGAACCTCTGATAAGACTATGTTTGAAGAAAGGATCTTGATCTGTTGAAAAAGGAATAATGCAAATAAAAAGACCATTTATAACAATAACAGTTTACTACTACTAAACTATTCAATGCTATAGCCACATTACTGAGTCAAAGTGCAAAAGAGCTAATTACACTTAAAAATTATTATTTATACACATAAAGGGACTTATACTTTGTGGATCTGAAGTGCTTCTAAATATTGCAGATAGGTAAACTATAAATATTTACATATTATAATATCTAAACAATCATTAATTTTCAACTACATGAAAAGAGTAATTTTGAAACATAATAAAACTAAAGAAATACAAATATTTAACTATAAAGGAATTGTACACAAATGAAGACATAAGACTAATGTCACACACACTATTGCATTATTTTTATTTGTACTCTTAATTTCATAAATTGTAAAAAGTTAATTTCCTGTATAATATCTGCTTGATGTTGATAGAATTAGTAGGGTTGTGGTCTGCCCAGACAAGTGGACTTGCAGATGTTAGATAGATTTTTCTTAGTAGTATATTGATAGTAACATAATATAATTAAGCAGAACATTCCATAACCTTTATTTTTATTCTTTACATAGTAACAATAAACTAATACTACTTATCAGGTTTAAAGGTGAATGTTATTCTTATAACACCATTAAATTATAATACAATATATAAAATTTTCGTGTTGATTAATTTCATTTACAACTGATAGTAATGTCACATGTTAACGGTTAAAGGTTAACTTATATTCAGCATGTTTTGAACAAATTAACATCGTCTATAGTTATGGATTGATATTAATCAATTGCAATTAATAGATAGCACAAACTAAAAAGTTTTAATTAATATGTGCAACTAAAACTGACTGGCCTGTTAGTCTAGTGGTTAGTGACCCTGACTACTACGCCAGAGGTTGTGGTTTGTTCTGTGTCTGGGTGTACTTTATCTATAATATGTATTTATTTAGAAATATATGGCGTATGTTTATGAGCAGTCTGGTTACCATAGTACAGGGTCTGCCTAGTTTGGGACCAGACAGCCGTGTGCGAGATGTGTAAAAATATTATATTAAATATAAAAAACATAATGTGACATTTTACTTGATGAATCCTCACCATGTACTTGTGAATCCTGTGTACTTTATAGTGGCATCAATCTTTAAGATTGATCCTACTATAAAGAAACATCAATCTTTAAGATTGATGCCACTATAAAGTACACAGGATAATATACTTCTATAAAGTGGTACAATTGTATGACTGTATATTTCTACATGTTTTTCAAATCACAATACAATATATTTATATTCATGCAGATTTTAATATGCCTTTCTGCTCCAACTCTCTCTCCACTACTGTACCTTCATACATAATTTTATCTTTAAGTGCATCTTGCAATAGTTGAGCATCAAATCTTTGCTTAGACCACTGATATCTACAGAATGACCAGTACACCATTGTAGTAATTGAAAATGTGCCTACTCCTATATGCTGTGATAACATTGGACGAGATGTTTTTAAGAAGGCAGCTATTCCAACACCAACTCCTGTTGCTATCCCATAAAGAAAACTTTCTCTAAAACAGGGTATTTTAGATATATCTCTGCCAAATAACACAAACCCCTGAAACAAAGAAATCTCTTTGAATTATTATTTTTTTAACCATTAAAAAATAAAAGTTGTGAAATAAATACTTTACAAGTGACATACTTTTAAGTAGACTATTTTCTAATTTTATTTAGTTGATCATAAATACACATAATATATTGCGTTACACATACAACTACGTTTAGAAAGCCTCGATATGGCGAAATAGTCTCAATGTGTCAAATTCTGGATGGTAAGTTTTGATGAACTAAAGTATTTTTTTAATTTAAAGCAGATATTAACCTTCTTTTCTTCCTCCGCATCGTCATCATCCAGCATACTCTTAACTACAGTATCCATCGTTTAATTTATTTATTTCTAAAACTGGCGTGTATATTCAGAAGGGTAATCTAGAAAACACTGTCCGCTCTGAAAAGATTTAAAAATAAGAAATACGAATACATAATATAACCTAAAACTCAAACAGATGACCCAATAACACCACAGATAAATAACACTACTGTCAAATAGTGTCAGTGTCAAAGTCAATCAAGTGACAAATCTTGTCATTTTATGATTGTCATCGGATCACTAAACTTGAGTCTTGACTGGTTATTCTTTATGACATCGAGAAAAAGTGTAACTGAGATCAATGCGCTTAAATCATGACAAATTGTAATGCGCTGCATTCTTCATGTTTTAAACTTCTTGATGAATCTGAAATATTTGAGTCACTCAAAAACGATTTAGTACTTTTGAACTCAGAATCAGTGTTCATAAAAGTGCTCTTAGGTGTATTCATATGTTTAGGAATAAGTCCTAGGTCCTAGCTCGGTCCTAGGCCCTAACTTAGTAAAGTGAGGTCCTAGGACCGAGCAGAGTTGTCTGACAATAATGACGTGACTAGATGCAAAACAATAAATAATTCTATTGTTAAATAACCATTAGTTAAATAAATAATAAGTTAGTTCGTACTTTGTCGTTTTTGTCTTTTTTGCATATTTTTTTTTCGTTTATTGCAATAAGGATTTTGTTCGTCAACTGCCAAAAGTTGCCAGCTAAAAATCAGCCGTGCCAAAACCGATTTGCTTGATTTGGGATATAATATAAATTTTAAAATGACAGCAGGATAGATAGCTCAAGACCACACGTGCGCGCTAGAGATAGCATAAATACTTATTGCTTTTAAATAAAATTCAAAATGCTTTTGTTTCTCTCTGGAAATACAAAAGAATAAGGGATTTAAGGAAAAGGTCATAAAAAAGAACTTCTATTTTGTACTTTGTTAAAATTGCGATGGTTCTGGTAACATTTTTATCAATAAAATGACAATTTCTTAACAAAGTTTGAAAACAGTTCTGTATTGCTGTTATTTTTGACATAAAAATTATGCTATCTCTAGCGCGCACGTGTGGTCTTGAGCTATCTATCCTGCTGTCATTTTAAAATTTTACTTTAGATCTCGGCGAAAGGGCCGTTCGGTTGGATGGGTTTATTTCTCCCTTCAGTAAATCTAGTCACGGTTCTACTCTCTTCTTAAACGTAACTAAAAATACTTAAATTCCTGTGTTTGTGATTAGTTAAACTGTTGATGAAACTGAATTGAATTATATATATGTATATATTCTCATCTATGACCTTTTTCGTTTATCTGAATACAAAAGAATTGGTTTCTTTATCGCGAGTGATAAGTTTTTGATTTATTAAGCTTATCGCCAGCTTTCTGTTAACAAGTGACTGTTTTAATCATTTGTATCATAAGCTGTATGAACAAATATTAATCTTACATAATGCACCAATAGAGGATACCGCACATACATTTTATGATAGGTAAGTACATATCTATCAATAGCAAGTTATCTTAGCCATCAAGATATCCAGTTCTAGTGCAGGATATCAATTATATGTTACGTTTTACCACTTCTAGTTGCAAATAATAATTTTATTAGATGTTTTGTTGAATAACAGCATATACTAATATTTTAACAGTTTTTTTGATCAGATATAGTCTAATTAGACTCTTATTGGTATCTGTTGTTAATTTTATGTAAAGGTAAATTATATGAATGAGTAAATTTTTCCAGTTTTAATAAAAAAAAATATCCTAGAACATGGTTATAAGTTTCACTATATGTATTAACTCTTTAACTCAAATTGCTTAAAGTCTATATCTATCTGCCCATGCAATAGTAAAAGTAACTTACAATTTTTTTACTTACTAACAATTATTAATAAGCATGATTTTACATAAAAAAATAATTAAAGAGCTTGCAATCAAATATACTCATAGGTATTAACATTGCTTTAAATGGAAATTAGCCAAATACAAGTCATCTCTGTACAGCAGAAATATTGGCAAAGGGCCTAGTGTTAAAGAGATACTGAGCAAATGAATGAAATGCTAATTGTCATGCAATATTTTTATTTTACATTGCCTAGTAATAGAGTTAGAGAAAAATAGTTTAAATTAATCAGGTGTCACAATTTCTTAGAGCAAAATTACCACATATGTTTAAATAATTATTGCTATTAATCTTAATATGAATATAAGGTTAAATCTCTTTATTTATTTGATTATTTTTTTATTGTAGCTGACCTACTTGACTTCTCCAGTTATGTAAAAGTAAATACTGGGTGCCTATACTTTATGTATGGAATACTATAAAATAAAACAAAATAATAACAGAAACCTTTTATAACTTACACATTTCATGTCTAAAGCAAATATTTTATCTAGTACATATAATATATTTATATGTACCAGATAAAATATATATATATATACTAAAATATATATATAATCATTACTTACCAAAAAATTTGCTGGGGTAGGTATTAAAGAACAGAACCATGTTTTTATTTTGAATTTGCATTGTTTGTCTACTTTGCAATCATGTACAATTGATTCATGCAAGTTTCATGCACTATACATGCATTTTAGAAACAGTACAATATAAGGATGAAAACCTTTCATGTGCACATATTTTACTTAAGTTTCAAAATAAACAGTACAATAATAGTATTACTTTCAACCAGTAATGTATTTAATAAACCTTAATTATAAACACTAACAAAATGTATGTTGTTTTTTTTTACTTGAAACAATAGTGTTAAAATTTAGTTATCATCATCAAACATTTAGTTTGTGAAATTCTTGAATTTAATACTCTAAGTGTGTGTAATTTACAATATGAGATCAAAATATAATTTAAATATATATTATATAATATAATATATATTTCAAATGTTAGTCTATCCATGCTCAGAAAATGACAGTGGTGCTAATTCTGTTGTTCGAAAACTCTCTAAACTAAACTAAAAATCACTACAAATTAGTTTAGTTCTGTTAAACAACGTTTCCTATTCTGAAAACGTAATATTTGACAGGAATAAAATTGTTTTTAGTGATTTTTAGTTTAGTTTAGAGAGTTTTCGAACAACAGAATTAGCACCACTGTGTATGTTTTAAAAATTTTAGTCTTGGTAGGTAATATGATTTTGAGCGAAAGCATAACCTGCACATGTGTTTTTATCTCTGCTGTATACTTTGTTTGTTCCTGTTATATGCATATTTATTTGACATAACTGCTGACCAATTTTCAGCCAAGTTAGTTGAAGGAACACCTTAAGACCTTTCACCAACAAGGCGCAAAGCTATTAACCCATGGTTTTCTTTTATGGTATAGGAGGGCAAATGACCAGACGGGCCACCTGATGATCAAATGAGTGATGGGCTCCTCACTCATTTGATGAAAAAGCAACGAAACTTTAAAGAAAGGCGGGTCGAGCCAGCCCACTTGAGCTGAAACATAGCACCCCTACCTACAAAAACAGTTGAAGCGATCACTAAAATTAGTTACGAAAATCACTCGTTCTCGAAACCATAACGCTGTTCCAGAAATGTTTCGTGAAAGGTTTAGTAATGCGTACCTGAATTGTGCACACAAATCTTCATTTTCTTCTTTTTTAAAGATGCTTTTTCTTATTCATAAATCTGCATAAAACTTCTTGAAGAAAAACCAAACAAATCTTTTTGTATCTCCATGAAATAAACCACAGCTTGTAAACACGGAGATGGGAGTTGGCCACGCTAGCATGCGAGTCCGAGATTTTAGCAGACGGCCAACTGCAGTACAGTAGCTTCTTTACGTGGGAAAATTCTGTAGGATACCCATTTTATCATCATATATATCAGTCAGTTATTTTATCATACTTTTACCTATATATATACTTTTTTTTTTCTGTGCGTAACTCGAATCGGATACGACCCACCAGTGGGTGATTATGTCGGACTCGAACCGACCAAAAACCGCACGCGATCTCCAGGTACCAGTAGCCGGTACCAGGTACAACCTAAAAAGGAAAGCCCTGGTACCCCGATGTACCTCAGGCCATCTACGGCTCATAGATGACCCCTCCTGTGTGGGGACCCGGATGTTCCCTTCCTGCCCCCGAAGGGCGTGCGCGCTTCGTAGCGTGTCGCACCGCCACCCGCCCCGGCCTGCTTCTGATAGAGTGACAGATGGCCTCACCTGTCTCCCTCAGCCTTGCGCTTGTGGAGGACGGAGGTCGTTCTCGGGCCTGGCGGGCCGGGAGAGTTCTGAACCTCTCCCGGTCCCGCTCCACCATCTCCTTCGCAAGCTTAACCTGATCGCAGAAGGTGACGGCGGAGTTCCACGCACTCTCGCTCCGTACCATGGTGGCAATCATGTTACCGAACGTGAGAATGCCCACTCCGACGACCCCTACGATTCTGCCAACTGAGGAGCGCCGTGTCCAAGGTCCGGCCATCGCAGTGGTGGCACTCAGGCATTGGATCCTTGCGGATTAGATACATGTTATCTCCGAACCATCCTTTCCCGGTGATCACCTGCGTCAGCCGGTATCAGAAGGTTCCGTGATGCCTGCCAATGCTCCATAACGGGTCTTACCGCCGCGACAACGCCGTGCCCGATCATACCTGCATCTGAGCTAATCATCTACCTACTAGATAAAATTGCTGTAAATATCAAATTATGTTTATACGATTTAATCAATTTTAATCACAGTAGGTTTTAAATGAACGCAGACAGAAAAAAATATTCACTTTTCCCTTAATACTTCCATATTGTCATTGAAATTGAATATTGAAGGAGAAACACATTGCTCCTTATGTAGCGTTGAGCATATTAATGAGCGTAAATGAAGAAATTAGGTACACATTAATAACTTAATTCTAAAAGTGGATTACATTTATTATATATCATATTGCATTACTAGCTGTGCCCGCCGCGGCCTCCCTTGCATGTACATATTATATTTTTAGCCGGAATCCTAGTTATTTTTCTAAAATAAGATTAAGTGTTCCTTATACATCTGTT